TTCAATCAAACAAGCATTTCATTACTCAAGCATTCTAACCTAAATGCATATGGTGAATTTTGATGCTAAGGGTTTTGAGAAATATATTTTTGAAGCGGTTTTGCATAAGATAAATAGTCAAGGTTTTATTTTGTTGTCAAAGTTCAAATTTTTGGTGGTTTTTAACATGATGCAAAACACAGGGTGTTACATTTTGAAACATCCAAATGGAACACTTACAACATACGTCTGAAGGCATATGAAACACTTGAAACATGCTTCTGAAACACTTAAAAACCATTTCAAACATATGCAACATCCAGATAAAACACATGCAACATATGTGTGAAACATATGCAACATCAAGATAAGCACACTTGCAACATACCTCATGTCGGGTACCGATAGTAGGGTACTCGAAGAGAAGGAGCTAATAACCCTCGGTACCAGTTCGTCTAAGGCGATTAGGCGCACGCTACGGCTCCAAGTGACCCCCGGGGCGCGGGCTCCGCCTCACTCGAGGGCTGGGACACGGGTCCCGCCTCGCTCGACGGTTGGAGCACGGGCTCCGCCCCGCCCGAGGGCTAGGACACGGGTCCCGCCTTGCCCGACGGCTGGAGCACGAACTCTGCCTCGCCCGACGGCCGAGATGCGAACCCCGCCTTGCCCGAGGGCTGGGACACGGGTCCCGCCCCGCCCGGTGGCTGGAGCACCGGTTCCGCTTCGCCCGACGGCCGGGGTGCGAACCTGAAAGCTCTAGTTTGGTTTTGGTAAATTGATGAAACCCTAAGTGCTAACCTAGTTTATCAAGTGATCATGAGATAGGTAGCACACTCCAAGTGGTGAAGCAAATGAAGATCATAGCATGATAAAGATGATGGCATGGTGATGATCAAGTGCTTCGACTTGGAAAGAAGAAAGAGAAAAACAAAAAGCTCAAGGCAAAGGTATAATTTGTAAGAGCTATTTTGTTTTAGTGATCAAGACACTTAGAGAGTGTGATCACTTTTAGGATTGATAGCCGTACTATTAAGAGGGGTGAAACTCGTATCGAAATGCGGTTATCAAAGTGCCACTAGATGCTCTAACTCATTGCATATGCATTTAGGATCTAGTGGAGTGCTAACACCCTTGAAAATATTTGTGAAAATATGCTAACACATGTGCACAAGGTGTTTGCAAGGTTGAGATGGGTTTGGGTTCCTCTCTCCCTCCCGCCGAGCTTGCGAGGCGGGATTCAGCGCTTTCGGGAAAATAAAATGTCTATTTTCTATTGCGCCGGATGCAAAATTCTTGGTGGTTGGCACACTTGAGGAAGGGTGAAGAAGTAAGAGTTGAAATGGAGTTGATCGAAATGATGTCAAGCGTCGATCCTGTGTGTGGACCTTGACGAATCAATCCGTATAATGGACGCTGATCGTCAAGGTCCCGGCCTTCACCGACTGATCTGATGGCTAGGGTTGAGTTGAGCACCGACTGTCTGCTCCGTCCGTCCAAAATGTGGACGGACGCGTCCGGTCGAAAAAACATGCCTCGGGAGCTTTGAAACGACCGGACGGCTGGGGCTTCAGCGTCCGGTCCGATTCTGGAGCGTCCGGTCGGCTTTCATGACCGTTGAAATCGACGAAACAACATTTGAAGCGGGGGACACATGGCGTGAATCACGTGATCGGACGGCCGAGGGCGGCCGTCCGGTCGATCGGACCGGAGCGTCTGGTCACCCAGCGTTAATGCCAAAGTGAAGGGGTACAACGGCTCTATTTCATTGGGGCTCTATTTATAGCCCCATGGCCGGCTCAAGGGAGTTCTCTTGCACATTTTCATTGACATAGCAACCTTGTGAGCCTAGCCAAAGCCCTCCCACTCATCTACATCATTGATTCATCATCATAGTGAGATTGGGAGTGAATCCAAGTGCATTGCTTGAGTGATTGCATCTAGAGGCACTTGGTGATTGTGTTTCATCATGGATTTCGCTTGTTACTCTTGGTGGTTGCCGCCACCTAGACGGCTTGGAGCAGCAAGGATCGTTGAGTGGAGGAGGTGATTGTCTCCGACTCCGATCGTGGTGATTGTGAGGGGTTCTTGACCTTTCCCCGGCGGAGCGCTAAAAGGTACTCTAGTAAATTGCTTGTGGCTTGTGTGATCCTCATCTTGTGTTGGTTGTGCGGCACCCAATTGAGGGTTTGGCGAGTGATGCCAATCAGCGCGTGAACCTCCAAGTGAGTGAATCGCCACAACGAGGACTAGCTTGTCGGCAAGCAAGTGAACCTCGGTAAAAATCATTGTCTTCATCATTGATTCCGAGGTGATTGGTCATCATTGTTATTCATCTTCGTGATTGATTGGTTCATTCATCTACATGGCGGTATAACCCTCTTGATCACTCTCTTTACTTTACCGCAAACTAGTTGACAAGCTCTTTAGTGTAGCTAGTTGTGAGAGCTTGCATGCTTGGTTGGTGTGGCTCTTTAGTTAGCCTTTGAGAGCACACTAACATAGGGTAGTGTCATTGCTCTTGTGTGAATTGACACTATCTAAACTAGAATTGTGGTAGGGCTTGCATTTTTTAGTAGGCTAGCGCAACACTCGCTTCGCCTCATAATTGTCTAACCATTTGGTTAAGTGTTGTTGTAGAAATTTTTATTAGGCTATTCACCCCCCTCTAGCCATTAGGACCTTTCAGAACCCTGCCTCGCTCGATGGCTAGAGCACGGGCTCCGCCTCGCCCGAGGGCTGGGACACGGGTCTTGCCTCGCCCGATGGCTGGAGCACCGGCTCCACTTCGCCCAAGCCCTAGGACAGATCAGGCGCCAAACAGAGGCACGTGGGTCCTCGAAGGGGCCCACATCGTCCCCGACTACCACGGGCGTGGGATATGGATCCAGAACCACGTCGGTGACTCTAGGGAGGAGATGGGCACGTCTCGACGCGACCTGCAACCGTGACGGGCCATGCCTCGACGTGCACGACCTCAATAGTGCCGGGCAGACCAAGCACTATGCTACCAAACCAAGTATGGTTTCAGTCAAGGGCAACTGTTGGCGGTGACTGACGATGGGACCGGAAACCCCTACCGATGACGACGCCGGCCTATAATAAAGATGTGACTAGGAGTCGCTACAGGCCCAACGGGACCCACACGTAGGAGGGGGAGGAGGATGCTGTCCCTAGAGCTTTCTTCTTCCTTGTTTTTCTCTTTCTTCTTCGTATGTAACCAGGCCCTTCCCTTGATCTATAAAAGGGAAGGTTGGGCTCCCCAACAAGACACGCGAACACAAACACAAATACACGCTCATATGCACCAGAGACCTGGGCCCTGCTCCCTCTCTCGCCAGTTTGTAAACCCCTACTATAAACTTTCAGTGCTGGTAACACGAGCAGCAGCTGCAAACTGGACGTAAGGACATTCCACCCGAACCAGTATAAATCTTGTGTCCTCTAAGCACACCATCTGAGCCGTACGCGCAATCTAGAAATTTACTAGTCGGCGATCTCGAAACACCGACACCTCCATAAAAATACAGATGAAACACTGGTAATAGACTTTTGCAACATACGTGTACAACAATTGCAACATATGCAACATCTAGATCTACTTTTACAGCATCCATCTTAAACACTTGCAATATACCTCTGAAACATCATAAACACTTGAAACATACGCTTGCAACATGCACTTTTAGCAAAACCTATCAGCCAAAGGCGAAGACGAGACACAATGAGATCCGGCTATCTTGGCATGATGGAGAAGGAGGATGGCGGCAAGCGGACGGGCGCGGCTATCGGCCCCGGTGAGCGGCGGCGCTGCCAGCGATAGAAGCGCGCCTGTGAGTGCCCATGGCGAGTGGTGCCTGCGTTGGAGGCGACAACAACGATTGGGTGGGTGTGGCATCGCTGCGAGGAGTCGCCGGTCATGCGGTCGTGGGGGAGCACGCCGTGGTGGTGTGCGCTGCAAGCGGCGATGGCGAGGAGGCCAGCGGGAGACGCGGCCCGTCAAGGGAGGCGCGCGGGAGCGCGATCCGCAGGTGCGTGTGAGTTTTTTATAATCTATAGTGATAGGAGGGAAGCGTAGGGAGCGGATTGAAATGGATAGGCTCCTGGACGTCGAATCCACGAACAAGGACGTCCAGCGCGGACGAACGTCTCATTGCTAGCGTTACCGAATATGTTTGGCAAGTAAAGTGGAGTTGTCGCCTTGGACGTCTTCGCTCAGAATGAGTGGCAAAACAATAATAAACTTCCTTTTTGATTTCTCTATCTTTGAGCGTGAGGGTTTGAGCTGGAAATCTTATAAGAATTAGCTAGGTATGGATGCAGAGGCCGAATATTTTCATTTTATAAAAAAGCTATTATGTATAACTTATGGATATGCAAGCCCTTGCGTATCCATAACTTATTCTGCAGCCAGCTATAGAATAGTACGTCTATCTATCTATCTATATATATATATATATAGATAGATAGATAGATAGATAGATAGACGTACTATTCTGTAGTTGGCTACAGAATAAGTTATTCTGTGGTCACTTTGAGTTACGATAATTACTATACTACTTTACAAGGTTACGATAACTCCCTCATAAGTGATTTACTATAGCATTATGGTAAGTATCATCTTGAATTATAGTAACCTATGTATTGTAAATGTGTATTGTCATTATCGTAAATTGGTACAAATATTATCGTAAATCAAGGTGACCATAGAATAAGTTATTTTGTGGCTAGCTGCAGAATAGGTTTACCGTATGTGTGTGTGTATATATATATATATATATATAATGCATCACGTTTGGTTATTTGGCCACGTCCCGTCGTGTTGCGAGTTGCGACTTAGGGGGTGTTCGGCTGGAGAAATTCTGGAGGAATCTGAATAGTTTGGATGAATTCTTGAAGAATTTATGAGAGAAAAATATTGTTCTGGATGAAAAAAAGAAGCGGATGAAGTCGAATTTAAGGGCACGCGAACGGAGCCTTAGGAGTACCAAAACAACAGAGATGAGCAGTTGAGCACTATTATGTCAGGCGCACACAGGAAAGACGTAGGGCCGGAGACTCCCGCAGAACACAAACCATTGCGGGAAGTAGAAAGCCACCACGAAGCCCACGACGAATCCCACCGCGCCGCCGATGCTGGACGCGTCGTTGACCCTACGCAGCCTGAGATGTATCCGCACCGGCCGCGCGCGTATCCGCACATGGAACCGCCTCTTGCACTTGCCCAGCGGCGCCCCGCAGAGCCGTCGTTGCCAGCGAAGTTTTCGGCTGCGAACCTCTGGACAGAGCCCGGGATGGGACCTGACAACGAGTTATCTGCAACGTTCAGCGAAGCTAACCGTGCAAGATCGCCGATGAGATCCGGGATCTGGCCGGTGAACCGGTTGTGCTGAAGGTTGACGGTGTTCAGGTACGTCATGTTCCCGATGCCGCGCGGGGTTTCCCCTGAGAAACCGTTGCTCGAGAGGTCCAGGGAGATGACGAACGGCAGCTGCTGGTCGATGTCTGTCGGAAGGGGCCCGGTGAGGTTGTTACCTGACAGGTCCAGGCCTGTCATGCTCCTGCAGAACTGAAGGCCTCGAGGGAAAGAACCTTGAAGCCCCATGCCTTTGAGATTCAAGGACAGGATGCGACCGACGTCGTTCCAGCACTCGAGGAAAGGGGATCTGCACATATGTAATCTTCCGGGATGTTGTTGGAGAGTGCACCATAAGGATCACCGAGCGATTCAATCAGGCCCTCAGGCATTGGACGTCACTGCCACTGCCAGCACAGGAAGATATGCATATGCATAGGAGCAGCAGCAGGACGAGTGGACGACAGAATTCATATGATGGCTTATTGGCACGAGCTGTGTGGCCAGCAGCATCCGATCATGGACACCCAGGAAAGAATGTGAAGCCTATAGACTAGTACTACGCTTTTATACTGAAAACGGGACGCAGATTCTACTACTCTCTAGCAACGAACTTGTCAAAAGAAATAAAGAATGGAAAGGTTTTTGAACGGACACGCTTCCCTCGAGAAGCGCATTAGCCTCTCAACACGGCACGTGCCTGAGAGAGCGACTCCGCGTTAAAGTCGCTGTTGGTAGACTTGTCATGGGAACATGATGAGGATTGTGGAGGGGAGTCACTGCATCTGGTATTCTGGTTGACCTGAATAATCATAGGCGCAAAGACGAGGATGCCTCCCGAAGGACAAAACAGTGACCAAATAAAGAGAAGTGAATGTGAGCCAATTAAATAAAATTCTATAAAAACAACTCCAGCAGCACCAAAATCAGGGCTCCTACTTTTTATTTGGGTGTTCTCCATTACTTTTCGGTTCCCAAGATTTTGCTTCTACTCCAACAGCATCACCCAAACGAAGGCCCCTAAATCTAAATCAGCAGACAATGACATGGAGGACCCACTCATCATTGGCTAAGATCTTTGTTCCTCTCATCCAACAGGTCTGCGCAGAGCAAATCGGCTCAAATAGGCATCGCAGTGTCCGAACCGCACGGTGGGACAGGCCAGCGTGGCGGAGGACCGCCGGCGCGGCAGGCAGCGTCCGCACGGCGCGGTGGGCCCGCGCAACGGAGCATCGACAGTGCGGCGAAGGAGCGCCCGCGCGGCAGAGCAGTGTCCGCACGGCGGGGCAGGCCCGCGCGGTGGAGCAGCTCCTGCACGGCAGGGCAGGGCAGCGGGCCGCGCATCGGCACATCCGCTCGCGTCCGTCGGAGCAGGCTCGCGTGCTCGCTGCTCTCCCGTCCTCGCAACACGTCCGTCGGAGCATCGCGTCCGTGCTTGTCGTGCCCGCGCGATGGAAGGAGGCCGCCGGTTCCGTACGGCGCGGGGAGGAAACAACCGCGCCGGAGGGAGGGAGGGAGCACGCGAGGTAGGATGGGGGCCGGGCGGCGCGAAGGGGAAGAGCAGCGCGAGCGCACAGAGAAAGGGGAGGAACAACGCCTGAGCCGATGGGGTCCGGGATGTTGAGCCAGGAATTGGGTCCGGAGGGGAGGGAGAATTTGGGTGCCCACATAAATTTCGGGCCCTAATAAAAGACCTGCTGGGGCCTGAGCCCCCATATTTAGCTTTGGGGGCTTAAGCAGTGGCCCTGATAGAGTTGCTATAATAAGAAGAATTTTACCTATGTCCTAAATTTTCCGAAAACACCTTTCTTGGAGCTTAAGTTCTTATAGCCATGAGCCCATGACAAGACTATAGAACTGCATGACAATGCTGGAAAAGCCAAAACACGAAGTGAAAGAAAATCAGCTCTAAACAGACAAAGATGGAAAATTAGGATCAGAAGTTCTGATGTCGAAAGTTGCTAACGAAATTGACACGCAGAAGTTGGTGTCAAAAGTTGCCGCGGAAGTTCCGAGACAGCCTAAAGAATAGCCTTGGAAACAAGAGAGAGAGAGAGAGAAATTCAAAACTCCATCAAACTAAGTTCAAATGACACCGAAAATTTGCACACTCCCTAGAATATTGTGAAGATATCCTCATACCACCTAAAGATTAACCAAGAACAATCCAAAACCTTCAACTTCAAGATCTCCAATAAAACCAAGTGAGGCCTGAAAAGGAGAGGATTGGGGCTTAGAGCTAAGAGATTAAGGGGGTGTTTGGATCCAGTGACTAAAGTTTAGGTATTACATAGAGGTGTCGCATGAGGTGTTCGGATACTAATAAAAAAATAAATTACAGAATCCATCAGTAACCCGCGAGATTATTAAGCCTAATTAATCTATCATTAGCACATGTTTACTGTAGCACCACATTATCAAATCATGAACTAATTAGGCTTAAAAAATTCGTCTTGCAAAACAGTCTCAATCTGTATATTTAGTTTCGTAATTAGTCTATACTTAATACTCTATGCATGTGTCCAAACATCCGATGGGACAGCGATAGTTGAGGAAGTGAATCCAAACACTCCCTAAGCTGGTTGTAAGGAAAATAGACCCTAGGCCCATTTACTTTGGATTTTGGTGTTTGATGAACAACACAACCAAATTGGATTAATAAATTTACAGGTAATTGTTTTGTAGTTCAATAGGGTGCAAGACGTGACTTGGACGAATGCGACATGATGATCCTACGATCAACACCATAAGCAAGACCCTAGAAGCACAAGAGAAGACCTAAGATATTAAGCAAAGTCCAAGCACGAAGATAGAAACCAAGCCGGACGCAAGATCGCGAAGAAACGAGCTCTACAGAGGTGACCGGACACGGCCCTATGAGGACCGGACGCGTCCGATCAGTTGCTCGGCAAAAGCAGGCGTCAACAACAGTGATCGGACGCTGAGCGAGGCAGTGACCGGACGCTGCGGCACTGGATGACCGGACGCATAAAGTGCAGCGTCCGATCATGTCCAGAGAGGTTCTAGAGCGACGCAAATGCGACCGGACGCGACAGGTCGATGATGCCCGGACTCGGCAGTGCGTTCGATCACTACGCGCGCGCTCAACGGTCAGGACAACCGAACGCGTCCAGTCAGGACGACAACAGCGTTCGGTCAGTAGCAAAAAGCTAGGTTTCGTCCCCAACGACTACTTTCTCTATGAGGCTTATAAATAAACCCCCACTGACCATTTGAGTTGTGGAGAGCTGATGAAACATACCAAGGGTGTTGATACAATATTTTAGTGATCTCCACTTACATGGTGCATAGTGATTCATTAGGTGATTAGCGTAGGTGCTTTGTGAAGTGCTTAGGTTGATTAGACCACCGTTTATGCGCATGCTCTAGGTTTAGGCCTAGTGTTTAGTAAGGTTTGCATACCTCTTACCACTCGGTGCTTGTACGCATCATTGTTGTATATCGGAGGGGTTTGTAGTCTTGCGAGATCACACCAACCGCGTTTGTGGTGTGGCTGCCACCATGTACCGAAGGGAACAAGGCCTGCGGCGGTTCGGCCGGAAGCTTGATAGTGAAGACGGCGGGGAGCGGTCCAGGAGAGGCTTACCGGAAGACACACCGGAGACCCACTTGCTCATGGGGAAGGCCCGGAGCTATCCACGGAGTTATCCGACCGGGAGCTTGACCCTTGCGAGGGGCTCCAATGAGGACTAGGGGGAAGCTTGCGCGCTTCTCGATACATCGGTAAAAATATCTGAGTCGTCGACGGGAGTTTGCATATCTCTATCTTACTCTTTAGCTTCCACATTTACATTGCAATCTTGATTTGTGTTTTACTTTCCTAGCTTAGTGATAGGCTAGTTGATAGGTTTGGAATCTAGGTTGCATAACTTCTTTTTACGGTAGAGATAGCAACACACTAGCAAAACCGTAGTTACGTATTCAGATAGTTTATTTTTTGTAGAGATTTTTGTAAGGATATAAAAAGAGACCATAGTTTAGAGTTAGAGTTTTAAGTTGTCTGGTTCACCTCCTCTTAGGCGTCACGGTCCCCTACACTGGTTCTCAAGACGAGGGACATTTTTAACTATGTTCACCCGTCCATCAGACCATCCCGCTTCATGTATAGTCCCTACCTCTGTCCAAAAATAATCGCATGTCTCACTCCCCGATAAGTCAAATCTGTTAAACTTTAATCAAATATATATGAAATTATACTAATAGTTATGATTTATAATAAGTATCATTAGATTAAATATGAAATATAATTTTATAATAAATTTATTTCAAGATACAAATGTTAATACTAACTTTTATATTCCTATAGTCAGACTTTAAAATGTTTGACTCTTCGTGAAGCGAGATATGCATTTATTTTGGAATGAACTGTAGCACCCTAGGGCTAAGAGCATCTCCAAGAGTTCCCTAAACATCCTCCTAATCCTTGTTTTTTTAGAAAGATGAGAAAAAACCCTCTCCAACAACTCCTAATCTTTTAGGACTTGGGAAATTCCTTCCCTTTCCGCGTAACTTTACGCGGACGAAGCCACGCGTGGAGGGCGGCGGCGTCACGGGGGCGGGGTTCGCCGGCTGCTGCAGCGCCCTGGTGCGGCAGCGGAGGGTCGGCATCGACGGGTTGGTGCTGCTGCCACCGATGGCCGCGCTCTTGATGGCGGAGAAGAAGCCGCCGCCGCTGGTGCTGCGTGGGCTGGGCGTGTCATGCTGCGGCCGGTGCTTCTTGTTCTTGGCGTCGCGGTCGCAGCATTCCGTCGAGGCCGACGACAGACGCACGCGCAAAGAGGAGGAAGGTAGCGAAAGAGGTACCTTCGCATGGCGCCGCGCTAGGAGTACTACTACTACCTGCCTAGGAGTAGTTGCTCCAGACGCGGCGCTAGGCGAGCGGCGTGGCGGCGCCTCCCCCGACAACGTGAGCAGCACCTCACGAAGACCAATGCCGTCCCCGAGAGAGAGAGAGAGAGAGGAGGTGCTGAGCTGCTGGCTAGTTGGTGCGTTGCCTCGGGAGTTAAAAACGAAACGCTCCTTGCTTCTCTCTTTTTCCTCGTCTTCTTGCGAAACTAGAGAGAGAGAGAAAGAGGAGTTAAAAGACAGCAAGAGAATGTCCTCTGCATCTCTCTCAACTCAGCCTAGCCACGTCCGTCGTCTCTGACGATGGATGCAGGCGGCAGCGGCGTGGGTACGCACGACGATGAAGAGATTCGCGTGGGAAAAAAGACTGCAGAAAAAAAGTTAAATAGAACCAGCATTTGATTTTTTAGAAGTCAAATATTATGAACTATTGGAGATGAACTTTCTTTTTTCTCCTAAAACCTTTTTAGAAATTGGTAAAGGAGAAATATATAGGGAACTCGGAGACTCTAAAATAATGGAGAAGAAACGAAACATGAAACAACTGCAGTCACGACTGCGGAGCGGCATCCATGGCCGTTGCCCGCTAGACCGAATAAGTAGAAAGGAAGCACGAAGACTAACTTATTATAATAGTTCATAATCCAAGTTTGCCACACCTAAGTTTAGGAAGCCTTGTTGGTCTCTCGAACCCACTCGTTACACAAGCAGAAGTGTTATCAGTCTAATTCACAAGGTAAGGTCGACCAAGTCACCTTCACTGAGATTAAAGCAAGAGCAGTCTTTATTTCTTGAGTATCATGACCATGACTTTTTGCCTTGAAGGAACAACAATGTTGGCCAGAAATAGATGACAGTGTGCCTATTTTGAACTTCAGATCTATCAAAGATTTCATTCGTACAGCAACCACAGACCTCTTCAAGCTGCATGACTCAGTGATTGCACCATCAAAGAGCCAGATTCGCTCATTCAGCCCACTAGTTAAACAACCGAGCAACAAAGCAAAACTGCTTTGCACTTCAGATATGAGAACCTCTACAGTCGCCTCAACTGCCCAATGAAGACGAGACAATGTTATATCAACTGCGCCATAATCGCCAGGGATGCGCATCGTACATGGCTTATTCCATATGCCTGCAGGGCCTATGAGTGATGCACCATCGATCAGTTGTAGGTCATCTTTTTCTTCTTTGCCTGTCTTGACCCTCATGTCATATTCGATCAGAGTAAGGTCCATCATTTCTATCCCTCGTTTAGGGCCAGCCATGTGGATAAGGGAACCCTACAAGATTATTATATTCATCATATAATAAGAATTATCTAAAGCTAGATGCTTCCCACGTAACAACATTCACTTAAAGGGAATATTTTACAACTGATAACCAAGATCTTCTGTCACGTATCAAACAAAATGTTTACAAAGTGCATAATGGTGATAGAGAGGGAAATTGGACCCTGTAATTCATTTGATTTTGTTTCAAATCCCAAATTATCATAACTGTCGGTACAAAAAGTGACCAACTGGTGAATATTTGTAGTTTTGCTGTACGTTGTGATCGGAGGTGACCTAACACTCAATGACACAGAATTTAGACTGGTTCGGGCAACGTGCCTTACGTCCAATGTGGGTTTGTTGGTGACTTTATTCCTGAGCCCAGGTGCTCGAAGTCTGTAGTGGGGTTACAAACGAGAAGGAGAAAGGAGGGGTGTATGAGAGGCCCGGTCGGATCCGACCGGAAGGGCCGAGGGCGACCGGAACTCCGCTATGAGCTAGGTGTTCAAGCGTGTGCTTGAAGGGTTTCTGAGCTATCGATCTAGTGAGCCCGAGCTTGAAGAAGTGGACATCTGGAACATCCATCTCCTTTGTTGGAGGGAGCGCATCCCCTTTTATAGATAAAGGGGACGGCTTTACAGGTGAGAGGAAGAGTACGAATGTTTCTAAGTCGTTGCCCACGCCGAGTGAGGGTAATGATGATGGTTGGCACGCATAACACTATTGATGTCGCTGTAGAATGTCAGGTGCACATGGAGGGTTGCGTTGGCTTCTTCAGGAAGGGTGGACCTCGGTACCTATGAAATGCTGTTAGTATATGAGGAGCCCCACCACGTGTGTCAGGTATGGTGAATCCTGGTGCCCACTATCGATGCCCGTGAGGCAGGCATGTGGGGGCCTTTTGCCGTATAGAGCCCCAAGGCGCCTACAATCTCAGTACACATAAATGTCGGCGCCTATAATATCAGAGGCACAAATGTCGGAACCTCCCATACCGCTTGTGTTAGGTCCGCTTGTGAGCACTTGTTCCAAGAAGCGCATGTATATGGTCCCAGTCTGTGTTTTGACTTTGTCTGTTGCTTTCTCCGTTCGCCGGGTCCCTTCCGAGTGGGAATCCCGGTCGGATGGCTCCAATGCAGATCGGGTCAGTGTGCGGGGAGAAGAGCGGTAAGCACTTCCTCTGAGCCCCGATCGGAGACGCTGGGTCGGAGTAGGAAGCAGCGTTTTGGGCGAGCCTTCCGATCGGGAGTCCGCCCGAGGCGGCCGCGCTTTGAGACGAGCGTTCTGGTCGGAGAGGTGGGCCGAAGAGGTCGTCGAGCGGGCGCTTCGTTCTTTCGGTGGATCTTCCGGCCGACGATGTGTCCGTCCCCCCGCCCGTTGTTTTTAGACCTTTCGGGCGGCCCATGAGCTACTGTGTCGTTCTCTCGGGCCGAGCCCGGCGTCAAGCCGGTCTCCTCTGAGGGACCCGGGTTTATGAACCCGACAGAGCCCCCGAGCCCCGGGTGATTTGAGCTGAATCGCCCCGGGGTTTTTGTCTTCTTGCCGGTGCGCGCGAAAGCTTCTCTGCAGGGTGTAGCCCCGAGCCCTCGGGAGGTTCGAGCGTAACTGGGTGGGGGTTTCTGCGTTAAGGTCGGTGGTCTGCGCGAAAGCACTGTGGGTGTAGCTCTTAGCCCCCGGTGGTTCGGGTAGAACTGCTAGGGGGTGTTATCTTAGCGGGCGTGTGTGTATGTTTAGTTTTGAGAAGTTTTGTTTAATCAAGGTGTCGTTGCGTAGTCGAGGCGTTTCTTAGGTGCAGGGTTTGAGGCAAATCTTTCTGATCTTGGCGTCGGTGCGTGCCGTTGATCGGGTGAGAAGGTTAGTTCGGAGAAACCGCTGGCATCGGTGCGTGCCACGGACGGTGATGGCTCGGTCGTGTCAGAGCTTACTGATCTTAGGCGTCGATGCACGCCGTGGGATCGAGCGAGGTAGGACCATGAACGGACCCAGGCGTCGGTGCGTGCCGTGGATCGCGGGAGTTAGTTTAGTTAGTTCAGGAATCGGACGAGCCGAAGCTCGTGGACCCTGAGTGAAGCCGTTACGCGAGTTTAGGAGTCACGGTCCCAGGTCTTGCTGGAGCGCAGTGAAGCCGTCTGAAGCCGTTACGCGAGTTTAGGAGTCGCGGTCCCAGGAGCCGTAGCCGGATGTCAAAGATCCTATCGACGCGAATTCGGGGTCACGGTCCCAAGATTTTTTGGAGCGCAGTGAAGCCGTCTGAAGCCGAAGCGTAGTTAGTTGGTTAAAGATCGGACGAGGCGATGCTTGCGGACCTTGGCGTCGGTGCGCGCCGTGGGATCGGGTGAGTCGGAGTCGTGGATCTGGCGAGTTCGAGGTCGCCGTCCTTTGGCGTTTATCATGAGCCCCCGAGCCCTATCGGGCCTTCGTGGGGGTCGATGTGAGTATTGTGCGTTACCCCATCCTCGGTTCCTCACGACCGGAGGGGCTGAGTTTCGTCGCCTGTCCCGATCGCTCGGGTTCGAAGACTAGCTCGGTGAGTTCGCTAACGGGTGTGATCGAGTGGAATCCGGGTCCGTCGTTCGTGACAGGGTCGACGTAGCCCTCTTGTGACATTCCACTACTCCTTTACCTGCAACCCGACAGATGCCTAGGTCGTTCTAGAGACCGACCCGGGTGGCCTAACGGCCTCCCCTTCGATGGAGATTCTATGGGCCTAGCGAGAGGTTCAGGATCGAACAAGAAGGTTGAGATGACCCAGTCTGCCGGACCGGACGAGGGCCGCACGGTGCTCATCTACGGTTTTCTCCCCTGGCTCTGTTGGTTGCCCATATCGAATGAGGCAACCCCGCTTCGTGACGCAGCACGGAGCGTTCTGATGCATTTCGCTGCACGTGCGATGCTTTAGTTCCCGAGCCCCCGGGCGATTCATGCCCTAACCGTCCGGGGGGTTCAGGCGTATGTATGAATGTTTTTAAAGAAATAGAGGGGGGTTTTTTATAGTATTTACCTCGACGACTGGAGTGACGGGGTTCGGAGAGCTTCAGTCGGAGACGTCCGACCGAGACCCGAGCTCGTCGCTCGGGACGGAGTCGGCATGGCCCACATGGGGCGTCCCTTCGCTTCCTACCTGTGCCTTGGCGTTTCCCCCGAGCGACTTGATCGGCTCGGGGGGTCGGTTGGTCTCCCGGCGGAGATTTCGTTTTTGGTCTCCCCAGGTCTGGCCTGGGGAGGCGGGAAACCGCCCGTGTGCGGTGGCGCTTCGGTTCTCGCGCCCGTCGTGTGGTAGTGGTTGATTGTGCGGTAGTGGTGGGTCACGGCCAGGCCACGTCCCGTCTGATGAGGAGCCGCTTCACTGCGCTGGGCACGTCCCGTCGGATCAGGGCACGTCTTGTCTGCATTTAATGGAAAAGAGAGAGATTTTCGCCCTGTCGTTTCGCCTTCCCGATCGGCACGCCCTTTCCTAACCGTTGCTCCCCTTCCTTTAAGTAGGAGAGGAAAGAGGTTGTTCGCTCCGTTCTTTTGCCTGTTCATCGTCTGCTGCCGCCGCCATTCTTTTTCCTCCTCGTTGAGAGCGTCTTTGAGAGCTGCGAAGGTTTCTAGGAAAGGAGGAAGGAGAGAGTGAGGGAGAAGAAGAGAGCTCACTGATCCTTTTGCGATCCGGGGCGAAAATGTCGGACTGGCGGTCGTCCACCGTGAGGAATTCGGTGCCGGAGTCTTTCGTCGAGAAGGGGTTTCTGCCGCCGCGGGAGGTGGCGCACTGGAGGGTCCCTGGGAAGGAGGAGTTCCCGCAGCCTCGTCCCAACGAGGTGGTCTCCTTCCTCACTTTCCATGAGCGCGGACTAGGGTATCCCGCGCACTGGTTCCTGCGCGGGCTCCTCAACGAGTGGCGCCTGGAGCTGCAGCACCTCAACCCAACGGGGGTGCTGCACATCGCTGGTTTCGTCACCGTTTGCGAGGCCTTCCTCGGGAAGGAGCCGCACGCGGACCTCTTTCGGCTTTTCTTCTCCGGGAGGGCTATGGCGGGCTGGAGCTCGACCGAGATCGCGCCGGCCGAGGGCTTCGCCCTGTAGAGGAAGCCGCGTGCGGGAGGAGGCTCGTATCCCGCATACACCCCATGCGACTCGAACCGGGGATGGCATGGGGAGTGGTTTTATATCCGGAATCCGATGGGGGCGCCGTTTCCAGTGTTTACCGGCGGGAGGCCGGTAAAGCAGAAGAGCTGGTCGTGGGGCTATGCCCATACGGAGAAGCACAAGGTGGGGGTCATCGAGGAGCTACGGAAGCTCGTAAGGGGCGGCCTCGACGGGGTGCGGGTGTTCCACACCCTTTACCGCTGCCGGGTCGCGCCGCTGTCGGAGAGGACGCACCCGATGTGGACGTACGACGGTCGATCGGACCCGGACCGTGCGTCGCCGGAGGATCTGCCCTGGAGCCGCATCGGTCGAGTGCTGTAGCTGAGGCCCAGGGAGACGGTTGAGGGGAAGCCCATACCGTTCAATGCCTCGATCGTGCCCACACTGGTATGTTCTTTGTTCGTGCTCTTTCTCTGCTCCCTTCCCTTTTCTTTGATTTTGGTTCTATCATTCCGTAGGGGCTCGGGAGGTACAAGTCCCGACCGCACCTTCCTAAGGGTCCGGAGGGCCGGGCCCGGCAGGCCGCCCAGAAGGAGGCGGCCGACGCTCGGAAGAAGAAGAGGACCCAGGAGGTCCAGCAGAAGGAAGAGAAGGAGGTCGCCCGGCGCGTGAAGGCCGGGGAACGTAGGAGCGACGTCGAGTCGGAACTCGCGTCAGACGATCCTACGGACCTGGATGACATGGTCTTCTCCGACGAGGAGGGTCGAGAGGTCGTTGTGACCTCGGCGGTGCGTCGCGACCCCGCGGCGACGTCCGTTGGTGAGGAGCAGGAGGCCGCGCGGCGCGTGGAGGTTCCTGCTTCGTGGAAGCGGGCGGCGAGCGCGGACGCCGTTGGCGAGCGAGCGTTGAAGCGGGCGCGGTCACCGC